TGTGTGTGTGTGTGTGTGTGTGTGTGTGCATGTACATGAGGCTAGTGCAAGTAATCGTCCACAGAGGCGAAGGCGCAGGAGCCGCTGCCAGTCCGTGCCATGATGGCAAGGCACTGGGCGGCCTGACCCACGGCCTGAGCCAGAGGGGGCTGCTTGGGCAGGTTGTGAGTCTCTGGAGAGAATGAGGAGGGAGAAGAGGAATAAAAAGGTCAGAGCGACACACAAACACCAGAAGTGAAGATGCATCAGTACGTTTCAACCACTACTTTGTGTCTGTGGCACCAGCTCACACTGGTCTACAACTCTGTACGGTTCTTTTTTTCCCATCCAGCCACTGTGCTGCTACTCTGGTATTTTAATTTCATCTGCTGCTGCTTGAACTTACTCAGCACAGATCAGCTGACCCACCTAATATTGCACTGTTGAGAGTGGAGCAGACCGGCTCTCTCTGAATGGCGTCCAGCTGGTAGCCGACTGGACTGTTCCATGGGTCTGAGTAGGCGAGAAGGCTGAACGCATCCTGCAGCAGGAGACAGCAAGAACAAGAAAAGGACTGATCACACATCAGTGGACGCTTCACTTTCTCTTCCATCAGTGACGTTGGGTTCTGTGCAGCTACTTTCTCTCCACAGGTTGTACCCGTTGAACCATTTAACCAGAAATTATCCTCCAGCATCTACATTGGTATTTAACTGCGATGTCATCAATCTTCTTATACTTCATGTCTATAAGATAAATGCACCCAAAGCAAAAAGGCTCAAATCTGACAGATCCTGCGAAATAAACACAACATTGATCCAAAAGACTTTTTAAATATAGAAACATGAACAAGATACTTCTTGAGTCTCCAGCAGTGATTTGAACTATGTACGTTTTGAATTTTCTGAGCTATGAAAACGTTTCTCTGCTCCTCTCCTGCCACCGAGGGATTTCTGCGTTACCTTGAGCATCTTCTTGTTAGTCGAGTTCTTGCCACACTCACGGCGGAGGTGTTCGCTCATGCTCTGGAGCTCCCTGCCGAAATGGATCATTCTCTCAATGGCCGCCTGGCTCCCACCGCACAGCTGCCGCTTGGACTGAGCAGATTCCACTTCTTCGGAGCCACAGCGACATGCAAGAAGGACATCCACACAGCAACAGTGGAATAAGCATCCAATCCCAGGTTTACATCAAAGTGGTCAAAAGTGTCAATTTCACAGAGAAAGGATGATAAGGTCTGTTTCTGACAGAGGAGAGGAAGACACAAAACCTTCAGGCACTCACCAGCGTTCGTCCAACAACTCCAAATCAACCAAGGTAGAAATACGGGAAGCAGAGGTATGTTGCCATTTTGATAATTGCTTCACACACTCACACACACGCACACACAGTACCCACCCATGTCTGCGTCACAGTCGTCGGGCTCTGCGCTGTGTTTAGAGCTGCCGTTGAGGAAACCATTTGAGGAGGATTCTGTCACTCCGTTGGTGAAGTGGTCAACCTCCATATCTATGTCATTGCTGAAGAAAAAAAAAAAAAGACAGGATGTGTGAAGGCTCACAGGAAGTGTTTCCTCCTACCAACGCCCACCCACACCTGTGACCTGCACCCATTGCACAGTATCAACTGTCAATCATGATAACGCCTACAATAAAGTGCATCTACGCCGAGACGACACCTCCACACAGAAGCAAAAGTTCAGCTTTATAAGCAGTGCAATGAAATACAGTTAGTGTCAGTGAGTCCCTCAGTACCTGGTTACGGGCTGTTGACCGCGGCTCCCGTTAAGACTGATGTCAGACGCTGGGAGGGTGGAGCCAGAGCTCGGAGGGCAGGGCTTGTGACTGTGAGGGGAGGAGCTGTGGCTCTTATTAGACGTCACGCCATTACAGCAGTTGCTGTCAAACCCTTAAAACGACAAGAGTGACGAGAGAATTATTTTTTTTTTTTTACATGATAATACAGCGTCATAGTTTGTAAATATGTCAATGAATGATGCTGAGTATGCACTTGATGCCTGATCACCAGATGTGAATGACACAAGCACAGCTGGACTGTACCTGTGAGGTACGGCTGGGAGCTGCTGGCTTTGTGGCTCGGGCTGCTGAAGGGTCGCGGGGAGCCGGGGTAATTGTCCTGAGACTTTGGGCTGCGACCTCCCAGACACCTCACCTCACTGTCTGTCCCATTCACCATCTCTATGAACTGTCTCACCCTGGGGATGGATGGATGGGGGGGTGGGGTAGAAAAAAAAAAAACACAAGCTGCCTCAAGTCCGGGACACAAGTCCTCAGTCCCCCGCCACACTTCAAAGATCAGCTGCATTCTAAACATCCAATAAGCGTTAAATCGTACTTGAGCATGAAGAGCAGGTCTGGGTTCCTCTCCAGGAGGTTGGGATAGAGCTGCTGGGTGGTCTCGATGGCCTCGCCCATTCTACCTGACAACACCAGCTTCTGGATTTCTGCCAGAAAACAGTGAACACGTTTACAGGACCATGTTTTTTTATATACACTGATACAGTTTGTATGCTTTGTTTTGTTCCAGTAATATCCCTGAAATAAAACTGTGCTCGTTTAATTAAGTTATTTAAGTGATCGCTGTCGTTTTCTTCCTAAAATATTACGTCAAAAAACCGTCCAATAACAATTCAGGTTGAGCTTAAACAGTTCAACGGGTCTGAAAGCAGCTTTAGAAAAATGCCAGCACAGAATGACTCACTCTGTCGATTTTTGATGGAGGCCAGCTCCTCGTGTACAGCCTGGTCGGTGGATTTGGCAAAGGCTTCAGCTGTGGCACAATAGCTGTGGTGCACCAGGTAGGAAGCCACCATTCTAACAGGGCAGAATGTGGGAAAACACATTGAGTGATTAGACACAGCTGCAGGAGACATCACAGAGCAGAGACATACCTGATGAGTGTTTCTGTGAATAGCATCAAACCAGTGTATCTGCTCCGCCTGGTTTAACTGTCCTGGTTTACAAGGACCTTTGTGATCAGAGGATTGATTCGACATTTTACTGTTTCTCTACAAAGACAATGTAAGTCTCCCATCCACCCATCTGACCTTAGCGAACTTAGAAACACCTCGTTTTAAATTCCAGGCCACGGGGCGACTTCACTTCACTCCTCCCTAAACCCCATCCCCTATCGAAAGGAGATTAAATCCATTCACAATAAGTAATCATAGCAACAGAGAACTAATCCCATCAGGTCATAGCATGAAGTGAAACCCAGTCCCACAGGTTTCACTTCTGGATCCCGGCTCCTGCTCTCTAGTGGAGAAGTGCTCCATATGGGCCTTGATCCTAATCACGTCAGCAGACATTATCCACAGTGTCCAACTCCTTCAATGCTCCACTTCAACCCTGTTATTTCATGGTGAATGTGGATTTTGTACGGGTTCAGTTTTCCCAATCCTCTTACTTCTGGATCATGGACTGCCACTCGCCCTCGCGCTCCCCAATGGGGAAGCGATCGATCTGGGCCTGGATCTTTGTCCTCCACTCTCGCATGTAGTCCTCAATGTCGAACACAAAGGGGTGTTGGCCGAAGTTTGCATCAACCACCTCCCCTGGAGTCTGAAGGCCCACGGTCGGGTACAAGTTTGGCTGCAACAAGGAGAGAGCTGTGAGTTGCGACGATAGAAGGAAATGGAGTTTGGGAATAAAATGGAATCCTCAGAGGGTTTTGTCAAGAATTATCCTGTAAAACTGAACATAACCTATTAAGCTGATCAATGGAGAGCTTTGTTCATCAGAACCAATGACTCTGTGATCATATTGTCATGTGCTGCGATTTCTGAATCACTTCAAACACTTTTTGTGGAGCCCCCAGACACAACAACAGATAGAGGTTTCAGTGGTGATCTAGTAGAGTGAGGTTAGAGTGAGGACAAGTCCAAATCTAGACCCGAACCCCTTTTCCACTGGTCAGAAAACCCACAAACATTCACTAACAATCTGCAAAGGGAAAAAATTAAATGGACATTTACTCCCGGGTCAAATGCAGGAGACACTAGTTTTAAAGGTCCAGTGTGTAGAATTTAGTGATATCTAGTGTTGAAGTGTCATGTTGAGCTGAACATCCCTCACTCTCCTTCGTCCCGTCTGGACTAATGTGAAAAACATGGCGGCCTCCGTAGAGAGGGTCCCCCTCGATGTAAATATAAAGTATTTAAATATAAAGGGACTTTTCTGGGGTAAAGAAAACTACAATTCATACGATTTAGAGGAAACAAACTAGTGAAAACATCCTGAGGATTATTCTACATTAAATTTGTGCCAATGGTTCCCTTTCACCTGATTCTTTCACACTGGAGCTTTAATGGGCTCCAATCAGCAGTGATTGAAACATGACACCGGAGTGAATGCACCAGCTTCTTCTTCTTCTTTCTTTTGGCAGCATAAATGCTGACACTGAACCTTTACCTCTGAATTTTGGGTACATTTCCTGAGTCCCCATAACAATAGTAGTACAACGGTATATGTGTCTAAAAGTTGCCTTTGTCACGGTCCAATAAGCACAAAGGTCAGCTGTGCCGAGGTGACGCACTTCACTGCACAGCTCTGGAGGAACATGAATGTGTGGCTCCCGGCCAAGCCTGTGCTGCTGCTGCTCAATGGATTATTGTTGTGGTTAAGACTCTTATTTTCTTCTCCCTCGAAAACAGCCGGCCCTGTTCTCATTTGCTACTTAGCAAGAAGGGAGGGGGAGAAAAACTTAAAAAAAACAAGGGTCTGCCTCACATTGTCGTGCAGTTAATACACGCATGAATCCCATTAGAATTAATGTCCATTTGGTCTGGGAGTTGTTTACATAATGAAGCATGGGAGCGAGACTCGCCTGACGATGAGCCACAACAACACAATGAACCACAAGTGATGTCCCGTTTAGACGCATTACTCGTTTAAGATGATTCGGTAAACTTGTGAGCAAATCATCGAGCAGACACAGAGAAACAAAAGATGAATCTAAGTCAAACAAATCACCAACTTCAAGCTCAGTTGTTGCTCTGCAAAGATCTTAACATGAACCTTGTAAATATTCTCTCTCTCTATATATATATATATAAAACTCTCACACTTGATAATGATCAAAAGCATTTTTATGTTTTCCTCATTTTAAAAAACAAAAAGTTGTCCTGTTTGTTGTCCTCCAAATTTCATGATTTGAGAATATCAAATGTATTTATTAGTGAATAATATATATATATATATATGTATTAAGTCCTCCAAAAGAACAGAAAATATTATACTGTATAAAAGTAGCTGATTAGTTAGTACATTTAATTTGCAATATACAAGAGAACTACTGGGAACTTAAGTTTAACTTTTACGTGACGCCTGAATTTTGATTTTAAATTATTGACCAAATGAAAATAAGGTTAAACTGAAGTGATCCAAAAAAAAGAAGCCTGTTCTTTTTTTTTTTTCCAGGGAAGCACCAACACTCAACATTTAAGGACCGAGGGGGTTTCAAGCCTCCAATCCATTTAGCACAGTGTAAACATTTTGACGGCAGCAGATATTCCGCAGCACATGAAACATTTCTTTTCTATAAATAGCCCTGTGTCTCACAGCCCTGATTAATTATGGAAACTAACAGACTTCTTCACAACACAGAAAATGTGGATACTCACTGGTAGGTCTGTGAAGGCAATACCTGTAAAGGAACAAAAAGCAATGTCAGTGTGAGGAAGCACAGTCCTCTCTACTGTCAGTGTGTTTATGTGCATGAGATAATCTGGTTATGATTTCTGCAATTTATTGTAAATGAGAGATCAGGGAGCAGCTGGGCCCATTGGACACATTCCCCAGACATGTTTCCAAGAATGCAGATTCACTACCTTCTTTTATTTTATCCTTCCGTAACATACAAATGTCTGTTTTTCTCTCACTCTGCGTGAGTGTGCGAAAGGTAACATGCCCTTCCTGAATATGGGGTTAAACTGTTCAGGTGTGCAAAGATATATATCTTTGGAACCTCGTTGCTTAACCTCCACAGGTTAGTCAACAGGTCCATACGATATCACATCAGGTCATAACGGTTCCTCGGCTCTTTACCTAGGCTGTGGCCGTTCTTTGTGTAGAAGCACGTGTTGTTGATGAGGTTAACGCAGCAGCCGATCACGTCGCCTGTTGTAAACGTGGGTCCGTAAGGTTGCCCTGTGCCGGACGAGCAGAAGGAGTGTCCATCGTCTCCATGGTAACCATACGAGTGCTTGTCCCAACCTGAGGGATTCGAATGCAAAGTATGAGCACTATTAAAAAAACTAAACACAGATGTTTCATTCTGAGGTGAAATGTAAAAAAGGTCCATTATTTTTCGCTGCTATGTATTTGAAAAAGGTGTTAAATAGTTCCAAGACTTTTCACTTTGCTGTCAGTGTGTTGGGAGCCTTTGTCCGATCATTGTTTCAAAGAGAGCAGAAGAGGAAACAGCCTCTGCTGCAGCCTGGACGGCCTCGGGGATCTTCTAACCAAGTGGCAGGACCGTGCAAGTTTCTGCTGAGCTGCAGAATTAATCCCCATTCATCACTGGGAGAAAACACTCAACTATGCAGCAGCCTGGCATCAGTTCCTCACAATTAGTGGATTTTCATTAGCCATCAATCTGTCTGCAGTCTGCTCTGGGCCTCCTCTTATCTTTGTATGGAGAGCCTCGAGCCTCTGGGTGGGTCCAGTTCTCAGACTGGTGAAGGGGTGTCAGGCTCCTGTTTGCCCTGATAAAACCAGTGGAGCCCCGAGCTGACGTCTTAATGGCACCATGATATGGCAGAGTGGTGGCAGAAACCATTTCATATTGGTTGCACTAGAGTTCTGAAACTGTGGTTACACCTTGAATATCTTTGAGTTGTGGGAGTATTAAACCAAATCAACCAAGAAAACATCTGTCCTCGACAGAAGAAATCATTTTCAGTGCACAAACTGATCTAAATAATCAGACGATCAGTGACGATAGCTTGAAATTAAAAAGTTTACTTGCTCACTGTTTTTCCTGATTTCATTAAAATGTCTATAAAAAAACAGCCAATAACCACAACCCTCTGCAGATGTCTTTTAATATGCTATAATACATCCCTGCCATAATCATGGAAGGATTAAGAAAACGCTCTACCACGTTCCCACACAAATGCAGACGAATGCTGGTATTATAAAATGGCAGACACAGACAGTGATGCACACATTCTCACCACACCCAGAGGCAGCAGCTACAAACATGACACGAATGCACACAAAGGGTCGTCTTACCGGGCAGTCTGTTCATGTTAACACCCTGAGCTGAGAGTCCGATGCCCATGTACCTGTGGAAGAGACAGGAGTTTATTTAAAAGACAGGAAGGTGAAAAACACGACGCATAGATGGAAAAGATGCAAAGCATGAGCATGTGAACATGCTAATAAGATTTTTTTAAAGTAAAATTTACATTTTCAAGCATCTGAATGGCCCCCTGGTGGCTGGCTGCAGTTTAGATCATAAACCCCCCCTCCTCCATGTTGGTGAAATTGTATATGGACCAAAACTTAAAGGTCAAAGCGTGTTTAAGATTAATTTTGGCAGAACGGGAGGAAGCGGAGATGGGTAGTATTTAATGGTGCAAATGTATAGTGACTACAATATATGCCTATAAATACATTTAATTTAGTCAAAATCCTGAAGCAAAGCATAAAGAAATAGTGTTTTGTGACTATGTACACGGATTTTTGTCAGGACAAATCTGACAAAAGGCCCAGCACACAGTTCTATGATGAAGCAACCTTGCAAAAACACTTTTAAACTTCACTGTATGAAACAGATAAATTAGTTAATTATCTGGAGAAAGCCTGGGACTAAAGAAAAAAAACCTCTTTATTGAGGCAATTTTAGAAAATGTTTCCGCTTGTAATCCAGTGAAGGGACGACAGACATAAAACAAATATATACGTATGTATGTTTACATTATTTTATGAAACTGTGGTTGGACAAACAAGTTTGTGGCTCATCAAAAAACATTGGAAGTAAGGACTCTGCCCTCCGTTAAACTGTGTAAGTAGCTAAAACGTTGATAGGAAAATGGAAAAGATGTCTTTGTTACGTGTCCTTACCCATCTCGGCCTTTACTGATGATTTTCACCTCGAAGTAGTAGACCCCGCAGGCGGCTGGGATGGGATGAGTGGCCCGTACAGACGCTGCATCTTTAGGAGTTTTGCCATGACCTGAAGTTGAGGGTAAAACATAAAGGCGTGAGCAGTGGGTGTGGTTAATACAAATGCATACTGGATCATTATCTTATCATGAAGGGACAGAAATGTTGACAATGAAGACAGACAAAAACTTCTCAGCGGCCACTGAGGCCGATGACCACCAGTTTGGATTCGATCGTTTGCAGATTGTCAGCAGGAGTGGCTGCAGAGCAGATTAACCCCCTGACAGTCCAGAAAGGTTTTAAAGCCTGGTCAAGAGACCATATCACTCAGGACTGATCAAAGTCAGAGCTTTCTCCAAAACGTGAATGTTGACCATGTCCGTCAGTTATTTCCCGACAGTCAGCAGTAATATCCAAGTTGTTATTAAGTTGGATCAGGAGAGAGGTGGGGCCTCTGCAGAGACTCTATACATAAAGTTTTAAAACCAAGGTTCTGGACAACAAAAAAACACTTGAAGACAAATGGTGCATGTACAAATATAGTATAGTATAGCTTGTTGATCCCAAAACATATAATACTTTTTACAATATAACATTTTCATGAACACACTCGAGCACAATATGTCAGTGGTTATCAGCTGTGAATTCGGACGCTGAACTCTCACACTGCTAACGTTAACTAAAGCAGCTCCAGTGCAGGGCTGTCGACTCCATCATCATGTGTCAGGTACAAGAAATATTTACATCGTCAAATGTCAGCAAATCCTTGTGTTCGCAATAAATGGAACAAGTGGTTTCTGTCAAAATGACTGATTTATGTTAGAGATAAGTTTGCGATAATACCAGATATGTAAAAGTTTCATAGAACAAAAAAATTAAGATCAGGGGGCGTTTCCTTTATTCGAGAAAGAACTTTATTCAGAATAGAATAATTCAAATTTAGAATAATGGATCTAGATGAAAGAATTAAAATGTGTGTGGGGAACTGATATCTATGAGTGAGTGAAATCTGGAGCAGCTTGTTTGAATTTAACGGGGCTGTTGGGCCTTGGCAGAGGTTTGCGCTGTAGTTTCTCTTTTTGATGACAAAAAATAATGTTCATTTAAATCTCAGCTGAGAGACTGGTTTAAAAAAATTGTATCACAGTATGTTTCCTGAAATTGTTTTAATTTATTTCATGTGTGACATCTGATTTCCAGGAGCAGGTTTGACGATATTTATTTTCCAAAATCTGGAAAATTGGCCAAAGTAGTGAGATGAGAATAAAGCTTTTTACCTCCATTTTACATCCGCTGACAAAATGGTTGCTAGATGAATACATTAAAGTGCAGAAGATACAAAAAAATACAGTTTAAATCACGAGGCCTGTATTTAAAACTCAGATTATCTCAATAATTACCAACTAGCTCATGATAAAATGCACATCCTTGTAGTCATAGAGAAATCTGACCACTCCCAAATTACCTGCAGGGATTAGGCACATTTCTGTTTTTGCCACACAGATAAAAATATAATTTAAATTCTAACATGTTAGTTTAAAATGCAAAAAGCTATTTTTAAAACAAATATGTTGGACGCTGCATTAGGGCACTTCATAACATTTCCATGATAATTTTTTCCATTAATTTAGTGGCATCTACTTCTCTTCTGTCCGTGTTGGGAGAGCGACCCTCACATGTGGCTCTCTCGGACACTTCTACGTGTATTTTCCCTGCTAAAAGGGTTTTTTAGTAGTTTTTCCTCCGTCTTGCTGTGGATTCAGAACAGAGGATATCCTCCTTGTTAAACCCTGTGATTTGTGAATACGGGCAATACAAGTTCAATTTGACTGTATTGTTAATGTCAAATGTTTGCTCCATAAAAAGTCAGAAAATCCACATAACGATTTCCCAAAGCACAACATGATATATTGAAAAGTCTTTACTTGTCCTAGCATTTCTTCTAAACCCAAAGCTTTTCAGGGTCACATTAAAGAAGTCTCAATTGATTAACTAGCAGATGTCTGCATTTAATTACCTGGAATGTGGCATGTTGAAAACTGATTCAAACTATTGAACAAATCACAAAAGCAGACGCTGGATAATGAAATAATCATTAAAGCTCCTGTGCTCTGCTCCAGTTCAGCAGGAAATTATTGATAATTGTGGATTAAGCGAAGATTAACGGGTCCATCTTATTTCTAGCAGTATGCCAACACACCAGGATATGTGACTTAGTAAAAACATATGTAATTACAACAGCAACTTTCTGCTCAACACTTCTGTGAAAATACAATATAATATGTGATCTTACTCTGTTGGCTGTTCAGATACTAGTTCCCCGTGTGTGAATGCTAAAGTTACTCATCATCTGCAAACCTGCTCTGAGATATCCAGGTGAATTTGTTGTACAAAAACATTGAAGCAGTAACAAGGAAGGATGTGTGTAGAGACTCGGTGGAAACAGAGAGGAGCACACCCAGGAAGCAGAGTTACACCTTTTTTTTTTTTTTTTTTTTTGACATTAGCCTTCTTTATAGGCCTGCACCAAAACCCTGCTGAAAGCTTTGCTGAGCAACTCGTCAAACCTGTATGTCAGAACAGAAGAGACACTCACACCCTGAGCTCTTCCTTCAACTATCAATAACTTCTCCTCTCAAAGTCTGTCAACTCGTCTGGGTAACTCCAGACCCATCGTGATGTGTGACCCTGTGCTTTCCTGTCGTTTAATCACCCAACGATGCTACATCAGCCGGATCGGAGGCTGTGTGGTCCAGGACCGTTTCGACTGATAACACTACATTCTGTTGACTCATGTTGAGCCGCACACGGCATCAGACCGCGCTTGGTTTGACGGGGACTCTCGTGTTTCTGTTGTGTTTCAGGAGGCAGGCGGAGAGGGAAGCTAGCGAGCTAGTGGGACCGTTTTGGCTGCGGATGCACCTCGCCAGCTGGTCGGGCTGCAAGATGTCCTCTGCTGTTGTTGTTGATGCGGGGCTGCTAGCCTAGCCCACTTTGTTTTTAGCCACAACGGCGAGCTGGCGCTGATCCGCTAACGGCCAGGCTAAGCTAAGCTAACGTTAGCAGCGTTAGCCTCGGCTGACAGAAGTGCCGAGGTGAGGGTGTGTGTCCGTGTCAAACCTTTGTAGTGCACGCGCAGGTTGTTCTGGGAGAGACCGATGTAGCTGAACTTGTCCTTCGGGCTCCAGGAGCGAGGAAGCGGGGTCTCGCTCTCATTCACGGCCGGATAGAGCCGTCGGAGTCGCTGGTTGAGCTCCTTTTCCTGCTCGTTCAGAGCCGCGTCTCCGTGGACAACAACCGACATGAGAAACCCACAGCCCGACGACTGTCCGGACATGGCTGCGGCGCGGGTGCTGGTAGAACGGCTTGTCAGACACAAGCCAGAGACACTCGTGTCCGTCAGTGTCAAGTTTGTTAGGGAGGAGGAGAGGGGAGGAAGGGGGGGGGGGGGGGGGGGGGGGTGTAGCAAAGCTAGCTAGCAGGCTAAGCTAACTGGCTTCGCTAGTCGCAGAGAGGCAGCCAGAGCTAGTTAGCCGAGTAGCTAACCTGGCTAACGCGTTTAGCTTGGCCAGCGCGGGCAAAGCGATCTCCGACACGGCTCGGGCTAACGTTAGCCGACGACACACGAAGACGGTCCGCCGCTCAGGAGCCGAGGGACGCGGATCGGGGGCAGAGACGCGTGTCGTCGCGGGGCGCAGAGTGAGGAGTGACGTTAGGACGCAGCTCGGCTAGCCTCCGTCTTTTGTTTGTTGTCTGAGCGCTGTCCGCGAGTCTGATTGGCCGACAGAGACTCCGCTCACTTCCTGTGGGGATGTGAAGTTAGTACACAGAGAGCAGAGGGCTCATC